GGGGAAAGGGTGTTGCCAATAAGGTGGCCAAGGTGCCGGAGCAGAGGAGCTCGGCTACTTTAGAGTTTGGAGCTGATGATGTGCAGGGGCTCGTTGTACCATATAATGACGCTTTAGTCATCACTGCAGAGGTGGCCAGTTACGAGGTGCAAAGGGTGCTTATATACACGGGGAGCTCAGTAGACATCATTTTCTTGAAGTGCTTGCAACATATGGAGTTAGACGTGAAGGTCGAGTCGGTCCACACTGCTCTCTATGGCTTCAGCGGTAGTGAAGATCGCCCCGTATGCGAAGTTAGCTTGACAGTGGCATGGAGAAGATCACCTCTGAGAAAGGTGAAGATGGTTCGCTTCCTGGTTGTAGATGCTAGCTCGGCGTACAACATCATATTAGGACGACCGAGCTTGAATTTATTTCAGGCTGTTGTGTCGACTTATTGCATGAAGGTCAAGTTCCCCGTAGGGAATGGGTCTGGAGAGATGATAGGAGACCAACTGCAATCTCGGCGATGCTATGAAGTCACACTGAAGACAGCCGAGGCCCATAACAAGAAGAGGAATGATGACCTACCTAATTGTTCCCATCGAGACAAGAAACAAGAGTTGGGGAGGAGCTCCTGGGACGAGCTAATGGAAGTTGATTGATATAGGGGCGGTTGTTGCCACGACCGTGGAACATATCGCATTTAAATAAATATTATGCATCGTTGGAGACATGCTATCTTTAATTGTTTTTCGTTTGTTATTGGTTATGTTTCGGAGAGACAAGTAATAAAATTGCATTTGAAGTATTTTCAGCTTAACTCTTTTCATGTGTGATGTGTGTGTAGGGCGCAAGCCTGTCAGTCTCACCCAAGCTCGCGGAGCTAGGCGACGACCTCCATAGGGCGCAAGCCTGTCAGTCTCGCCTAAGCTCGCGGAGCTAGGCGACAACCCTTGTAGGGCAAAAGCCTGGTAGTCTCGCCTAAGCTTGCGGAGCTAAGCGACGACCCTTTTAGGGCGAAAGCCTGGTAAGTCTCGCCTAAGCTCGCGGAGCTAGGCGACGACCCTTGTAGGGCGAAATCCTGGTAGTCTCGCCTAAGCTCGTGGAGCTAGGCGACGACCCCTTTAGGGTGAAAGCCTGGAAAGTCTCGCCTAAGCTCGCGGAGCTAGGCGACGACCCTCATAGGGTGCAAGCCTGTCAGTCTCGCCTAAGCTCGCGGAGCTATGCGACGACCCTTGTAGGGCAAAAGCCTGGTAGTCTCGCCTAAGCTCGCAAAGCTGGGAAACGCCTTTTTAAGAGGCAAGTGTGGCCGGTGACGACCTGGGTGATTGACAAGGCCTTTCCGTAAAGTTGGGAATATGAGTCTTGAGAGACTTAGCAATAATTGTGCTAGGTACAAAAGCCCATTGTCACGATGCTAAGTGTTACAAGACTTGGTGGACGAAGTTCGTCCTGAGCGGAGAATTGTGGTTACTTGCATAGTGATACGTTATGTAGGTACAAGTAATTGAAATGGGTAAACAACAAAATGGAGGCATCGCATTAATTCATGGTGCTAGCTTATGATAGGTGGCATCAGCTAACAAAAGACTAAATAAGTTCATGGTTACATGCCCGAATAAAAAAGTTCACCAAAGACTAGACGAGTTCATAACTACGTGACAAAATAACAGATTCGATGCATCTACTACAGACAAAAGGGGAATGCATGCAAGTCTAGGAGGGTGGCCCGACGCCCTTCTACTATGGGACCACCTCCATCTCAGCTCCAGCAGCAATGATAGCAGCCCCTAGAGCCGGCTCCCACCAAGGATGAGTCTCCAGGAGGGACGAATCACCTTTCCACCCCGGGGGGTTAGGAAGGCCTCTCCTCAGCTTTCCTGCATCAGCGAAGAAGGTCTTGAAGCCCTGGGCACGCGCCTCGGCTAGGGTCCGCTCGACCCCCGCTCGAAAGTAGTGGAGGCGGTCCTTGACGACTCGTCTGAGGAACGCTTTGGAGTCATGGTAGCGAGTCAATATCTCATCCCGATAGCACGCAAGAAAACGGCCCCCGAACTCCGTGTCGAGGAATGTCTCTTGGCCTTCCGTCCGGTCTTGAATGATGCGCTCGTCGACGGATAGTCGAAGTGACTTTAGCTTGCCCTGGAGCTTTTCCTTCTTGGCCTTCTCCTTGGCAAGGTCTTGCTTGAGTGTGGCAAGTTGCGCATTATTTCTAGCCACCTTGCCCTTCAGTTTCTCCACTTCCTCAGAGTCGCCTTCCACAGCCTCGTTGAGGATGGGAGTTAGGCCGGCCATGGTTTGTGGAATGAGATAGAAGTGAGAAAGAAGTAGTTGGATACCAACTTCATGTGATTAAGTTTTAAAGGTATAAAGATAAGGTGTGAGGGTGGAGAATAAGGCTTGTGAGAGAAGCTAAGTGGGAATTTCAAGAAAGGTAGTAGGTGATAGCATGTGATGGTGGTTGGGTAGCTAGGGGCATGATTTAAAGTTAGGTGGAAGCACTATGAGAAAGCATCATGATGTGCAAGCTAGGTGAACGCCTCAACGTTCGGGCCCGACGTTTGGTCGACAATGGCCGAGCCGTGGGTGGTCGCCATGAGGTGGTTGACATAGTGCGGGTCATCGCGTCGTGAGTGGTCGAGGGTCGGTATCGCGCGGGTCGGCATCGCGCAAAGGGTCGGCATCGTACGGGCGGTCGGTGTGGCCCCGGTGGTCGGCATTCTCCAAGAGGTCGGCACACGCTCAGGTGGTCGATATCCTCCGGTGGTCGGCATACCCCCCAGCGGTCGGCACTCTTCGGTGGTTGGTGCCGTGATATGGTCGGCGTCGCGGGCTCGATGGACGACATCGAGGGCTTGTCGGTTGGCATACCCCGACGTGGGGCGGCAAGTCGTCGGCACTTTGGTAGACAGTGTACCTCGGTGGTCGTCGTCGCGGTGGCAGGCGTCGCGGGGTGGTCGACACGCATCGGAGGTCGCTAGGAATGGTAGGTCGCCACGCGGGAGGATGTCACATGCGGGTCGTCACGCGGCAGGTAGTCGCAAGAGGGTCGTCACCCTCGGTGGTCGGCCTCGTGTGGGTGGTCGGCACCGCGGGTGGTCGGCACTAGGTGTGGTCGGCGTGCGTCGGCGTCGTGGGTGGTCATCGCAAGTGTTTGGCGTCACTCGTGGTGGGTCGGCAATATGACGGTTCGTCGCGTGTGGTAGGTTGGCACGTGTGTAAGACGTTACGAGCGGCGGGTAGGCATGAGGAGTCGACGTGTTGTGACCGGCATTTGGTCGCATGGCGGGTAGGCGCCATCGGATGGTCAGCACTCTCGCAAGGGGGGTCGCACCCCGGTTTGGTCGGCACATGGCGGGTAAGCGCCACCAGGTGGTCGGCACTCTCGCAAGGGGGCCGCACCCCGGTTTGGTCGGCACATGGCGGGTAAGTGCCACCAGGTGGTCGGCACTCTCGCAAGTGGGTCGCACCCCAGTCTGGTCGACACTCGCGAGTGGTCGGCATCGCGCGTGTCGTATGAGTGGTCGACACTGAAAAGTGCGCGACGTTTTTCATGGTGTTCGGGATCCTATGAGCGAGCCCGTTTGGTGTTAAGAAAATTTGGGTAAGGTAGACGTGATGCTTGCTACGGCGTGTGTAACTGTTCATTCCTTACAACAAGCTCAACTTGTCTAAGGAATGAGGGGGCTAGATGATGTGGTCATTAATAGCGTCTCATGAAAGACCGGTTGTGACCCGGGTTCTAGTTGCACTCAGCTTGGTGGTTCAATTTGGTAGGCGAGTGATTTGGTAGGCGGATGCTTTGGTAGGCGGATGCTTTGGTAGGCGGAGGCTTTGGTAGGCGGATGCTTTGGTAGGCGGATGCTTTGGTAGGCGGAGGCTTTGGTAGGCGGATTCTTTGGTAGGCGGATGCTCTGGTAGGCGTAGCCCATGGTACCTTTGGAGTACATGTGTGGTAGGTGGAGGCTAGCTCAGCATGAGCTAGGCAGGCACCTTGGCACCTAGGTAGTTGGACGTCCCTCTGAGGGGACCAAAGCCCGGAGGGGGTATCGTGCTCAAGTCATGAAGAGGTTCACAACCTCAAGGATTCTTAGGATTTTGAGCTAATCTGATGGGAAGACTCCTAGTATGATAAGAACTCTTCAACTACTACATGACCTCATCTATAAAAGGGCATTGGTTCATTCATTCTAAACAATATATACATACAAATTCTCTTATTGCTCTGCCGTTTTTTCTTCGGACCACCACTGACTTGAGCGTCGGAGTGTTCGCGCCGGAAACCACCTCCGGCGTGTTTTGCAGGTACCGACGATCAAGGAGACGTAACCCGGTTCGAAGAGGAGCGGTCCAGCGGTCCAAGTTTGTGTGTTATAACACTAACTAAGTGTATTAGTCCGCTCAAAACAAAAAATTGAATCCTGACTAGCCACTGAATGTCGTATTCCACATAGATGATAATTAAAATGATTAAATACCAAAATAGCAATGATTAAATATTATTTAAACTGGTACATATTTGAATGATCATATATAACTTTAAACTAAACAAACAACTTTGAATTGTTCAATCGTAAACAACATGCTCTTTACTTATTCAATCGTATTTAAAGTTACATGTTCAATATTAAAAGATGCATTTTGTTTACTTATTCAATCGAAATTAACGTTTCATGGCTTCAATATTTAAAAGATGCATTTTGCCCCCAAGACAAAATCTGCATTAACAATTTTGGAGATTTGACGGTGCGCTTCTTCTGTCAGATGTAAACCATCCCAGTGAACATATTGATGCGGATTGTCGCACACAGGCACACCAATCCCTCCACAAAATTGTGGACTAACAGGATTGAAATCTCTACTTTGGCAACAAGGACTCAACAAAGTTGTGCGATCGAATCCTACAAAACATTAAACTCATACGAGAATATATCATAATTACAGCATGCACTAATTTGGCAATAACGTGTTTTAATATGTTAATGTATAAGTTTCGTAATATATAAATTAATACTAACCGAGAAAAGGCGCTCGGCGAAGAACTGTTAGAAAAGCGTTGTAGTAGTCTGCATAGAGTATAACAACGTTTGGAAATTCCCTTCTAAGAGAGTGTAGAGCGGTCTGAAGGTTGGAGTTCTGATAAGTCGCAAGATTGTTCAAACGTTTTATGCACCCATTTTCATCGTACTCTGTTGAATCATTACTAGAAAAAGCGCTGAGTGTATAAGGGAAACACCCAATAGGGAAGTTTCCTGGGATAACGATTCGTGAGGCACCAGCAAGAATGATGACCTAAATAATAAATAAATAAAATTGAAAACTAAAACAATCAAAACTATATACACTTAAAACAATTTTGCTATGGAGCAATCGGATGACTCGATTTATGGAGTCATCAGTTATTCACAAATAATGTGTTGACACGTGTCCTACAATAAATATAATTTGGACACGTGTCAATACGTTTAGTGATCGATGACTCTATAAAAAAACCAACCGATGGCTCCGTAAAATTTTTGACACTGAAAAATATAATTAATAAAAGTAAAAAATGTATGTATGCATGCATGGGAATTACTCTGGTGGCGTTGACAATAGCTTGATTAATAAACGGCACATAGGTCTTGATTTCTTCGAGGGATTTGCCTTGAGTCAATGGATAATTTATATCGTTTCCTCCAATTTCTCCCATGAAAATCAAAGACTTTTTTAGCCTGTCAGCACAATCTACCAAAAAAAAAAAAAAAAATAATTATATGTATTTATCTAGTTATATGATGTTTTATATTTGTATAGTCATTCTCTTTTGTTTTTTTTTTATTTTATTATTATTATTTTTTTTAAGTATCTTCAACTCTATAATACATAACTTAATACATATAAGTGTAATATATTTACAGAATGTGATGAAATTTCAGTGGAAAATTTCAATGAAAATATATTCCAGTAGAATTTCAACGACAATTTCAATCAAGGACGGACCTAGATGAGGTCCAGGGGTCCTGTGGGCCCCCTCAATTTTTTTTAAAAATTATTATGTATACAAATAAAAATAATACTATAAAATGTAAACAAAAATGTAAAAAACATGTAGAATATATAAATAATTAAAATTTAATTTTAATGCTATTTTAATTAATAATATTATTTAATTATTGAAATGTAAACTAACAATCTTTATATTTTACATTTCTAGATAAATTTTGAAATATATAATAATTTACTCTTTTAGCCTCTTAATTGTAAATCAATTTAATGATTTATCAAATCTATATTTAGTTGGATTATTTTAGATTTTTTTGTTTTCAATCGGTAGTATATTTGAATGTTGATTTTTTACTTTATTTTTTATGTAATCACACATATTTTCAACCTTATTTATTTTTTATTAATAAAATGGTCATTTGATAAGCTCTCATTAACAAAAAAATGTTATGCAACGTGTTGCGAAATTTCAGTGTAAATCAAATATTGAACAAAAAAATCTTATTTTTTTGTCTTAAACTTATAAAAACACGAAATCTCATTTTTTTTCTTCAAAAAATTTTGAGGGTGATACGACACATATCAATATCTATATTTGTAAATAAACACAACTTTATATGAAATGAGTTTTTTTACGTAAACTACAAACTCGTTATATAATATTTAAAATTGGCCCCCCCGAGTAAAAATCCTAGCTCCGTCACTGATTCCAATAGATATTCCAATGCGATTATTTCCATTTGATTTTTTCAATGAATTCCAACGAAAATTTCAACAAAAATATTTTGTTGCAATGAGTTTTCCATTAGAATTTCAGTTGCATTTTGATGATTTCAAAGGTACATTTTCCAACGGTTGAAACATGGGTGAAAATAATAGTTCCAGCGAAAATTCTATATTCTAACGAAAATTACTACGGAAAAATCATTGGAATAATGACAATTGAAATGATAAAATTTCATCTAAATTCTAATAAAAACCTCATTCCAATAGAATAGTTCCGTTGGAATTTTCGGTGAAATTATTTCAACGGAAACTATACCGTTGGAATATCCATTATAATTTTCATTGAAATATATCACCGTATAATTTTCTGTTGGAATATGGCGTTTTGTTTTTGTAGTGTTAATCTTTACAAAATATATATCATGTTTATTATTTTCAAATATAATATTTACTTACACTTTTTTTTTCAATATCATAATAATATTTCATCTCTTCATTTATTTTATTTTAAGTTGAAATATAATTTTTTAGAATATTAATATTTGTTTAAACTTGTACATGAGTTTCATATTTTTTAAATCTATAAAAAATGTAGTAAAATAATATTTGTATGTTATACTAATATAATAAAATTTCAATATTTTACAATATGATTTATATATTATTTTTAATTTTCAAATTTTGTAGATAAACTTATTTAAATCTATTCATAAACATAGATTCAATTAATATTTTTATTTATATTAACAATATAGATATTAAATCGAATATCACTAAGAAATGATTTAATTTATATAAGACAAACTTTAGTATTAAAAATATATTAATAATGTGGTCCAAACTCCAAATAATGATATTTAGAATGCTTTAAGGATAGCATGTCTAATGATTTATGAATATTTATATATTATTTTATTAATATTTATATGAACAAAATAATATTGTATTACGACTTTTATTAATGTACTGTAAATCCAAGGTTCTTAGTTTGGACCATCGAACCGATCAAATTATTTATTCAATGATTTATTGGTTAGAGTAATATTTAATTTATTAATATTTTAATACAAACACGCACACACACACATATATACATATATATATATATATATCTATATAGACAATACTTTTTGTAGTAGATTTATATGGAAAATATTAATTAAGTATCTGAACAATAACATTTTTTAAATTTTAAATTAATTGATAAATACTATATAAGTTTTCATTTTATTTAAACATGAAACTTTATTTATATTAAAATTAATTCTAAACGTAACAATTTTATTTTTATTTTTAAAAAATCCATCCTACCAGTCTGACCGGTTTGCTAGCAAACGTTCTTCGCAAGCAAACCTGACCGGTGGATAAATTGCTTTCCGGTCCATCCGATCAGGATGTCAGGTTCGATTTCGAAAACAGTAGGTAAATCATGATTAATATTATTTATAATAAAAACGTATAACAGTTCCATCGTGCATAGCGCATGGCCAGGTGGTTATTAAAAACTCAACTTGACAATACGAAAATTTACCTGATGGCCCAGAACAATTTGTGGTTAAGTGTGTCCTAAACCAAGTTAGCTGACGGTCAAGGGAGCCAACACTTGGCGGAACAATTATGCCTTTCGATGTGAAGAAAGACGAGTTGAGCGCTGTAGCACCAGCAACCGCAAAATTTACTCCATTTTCGAAAGAAGCATTCTTGTTCAGGTAAGCATTCAACAGTGGAAGTCCAAGTGAAGCAGCTGCACAATGATGCCTTTAGCGTGCACTTTTTGAATTCAAAATTAAATCAAATAATGATAAGTTGGTCATTTTCATGAGCAAATTTTGATCTCATCAAACCCGCTACTAATATTGGTTTAGTTTTTCTTTGTCCGATAATTCGAGTGTCGTACTGTGTCCATTATAGTCGAGTGACCTATCATTGGTCTCATATTTCATCTACGCAATTGTGCCACTAAAATTTTGATCTGTAATTATAGTGTCGTTCGGTGTCCATTATAGTCGAGTCTCAGTCAAGATTTTGTTTGCTCGCTCAGGTTTTCGTTAAACAAAAATTCTGTGGACGAGTCTATCAACCACTTAATGTATTGACATGACCTGTTAAAATTGTATTTATTGTATGACACGTGCCCATACCCTATTGGTGAATAAGTGTGGATATGACTTCATAAGTCGAATCATCCGATAGATTCATAGCAAAATTGTTATATTAGATGTTGAAATTAATGCATAATATTGTTACCAGCAAAATCAATGATGAGTCGGCCATCGGACCACCGGCCAGTTGGCTGCCCGGGGAAAGTTTGACCGTAAGGCAGACGAGCGGCCGGAAGAAAGGGGCCGACAGGGAGTATTCGAACCAAGTTCCCAGTGTCCGAGGTTGAATCACCGAACTGATACAAAGATTGAAATGGACATGTTATTCTATTGGCGCCTGCAGCTGCTGCAAGCATAACCAAAATATAAGACCTCAATACACAAAATAGGAAAGCAAAATCCATATCTAAGTAACTCATATATGTACTCACGAATAATCCAAGGCATATGGGATCCCTTTTTATAGCACTAGAGAAGAAGAATTATGTGATGTCGGTTCATATTTAGCAACGTGCATCTCTCCATGTAGAAGATGGATATTTAGTGTGAGACTTTTTTTTCGTCTTAAGGTAATTATTACCTCTTGACATATTATAATAATCTACTTAAATCTATATCGCCTGTATAAAAGGCTAAAAGCTTACTTTCTTACGTTGTAACTGTTTCGCCAAATTTAGGGTTTGACTAAGATTTAATTCAGCTAGCCACAATAACATCCTACAACTAGGTATACTAATACTTAGGAAAAATTGGAGTTTTGGTCATGTAAGTGGCAACCATTTTAAGTTTGGTCATGTTCAATAGTGGTTTTTGGATCACGTTCTGTAAATGCAAAAAAACTTGAAATTTCGTCCTACCACCAACTAATGCAGCTAATTTTCACCGGCTGTCGAGGTGGAATTTGTTTTCAATTTTTTTTTTTTGTTTTTTTTGTTGATGTGGAGTTATATGGCAGAATTACAGAAAAGGGATTCAAACCTGGGTCTTTGGCATCCCAAAAGGACATATGAACCACTTGACCTAACACATATTATGTTAAAAATTTAACTTCACTTATATATATTCAAAACTATTGTTGTAAACGAAACGAACCGAACCGAGCTTGGGTTGTTCAAGCTCGTGTTTGTTTACGTTTGAACAGTGTTCGTGTTCGTTCGTTTATTTTTTCGAGCAAAAAAATCGAACTCGTTCGTTTAATTGTTCGTCAAAGTTCGAGTTCGTTCGTGTTCAAATAATTTAATGAATAATTTTTTTAATATGTTTGGTTAACTCGAAATTTGTTCATTCGAACTCGTTCGAACTCGAAATAAAAGAATAAAATAAAAATATTTTTATATTTCAGATTTTTTATTAAAAATATTATGTAAATATATAAAAAATAAATAAATTACGAAAAATTTTAGATACTTTATCGAAAATATTATGCAAATATATAAAAATAAAATAAAAGTATATTAAATTAATGTTCGCGAACATAAACGAACGTTCACGAACGAGCTCTTGTTTGTTCGATTATTAAACGAGCCCAACTTTTTGTTCGAATTGAGCTCGGCTCGATCAATAAACGAACGAGCTTTTGTCGAACACGAACAAACTTTTGTTCGCAAACATTCGGTTCATTTACAACTCTTTACCGGGACTAGCCTTTCACTTTTGGATTGGAGCACTGGACAGTCACACAACCCCGAATATTCAAAATGTTTTATCCATGAAAGGAAGCATATATATATATATGGGATATTATATATATTAGACCGGTCCGTTGGGTCAACAGAATGGATCGGGTTAATCGGGCTGGTCAAGCAGAATACCCGCTGAACGATAAAGGTCAGAAGTCAAAGCTACGCGGAGGGAGGAGAACCTGGTAAGTACCCGCTTTACAGAGCCCCGATCGAAGCACCAGACGGTCGAATATGAATGATCGTGAGATCGACCATCTTTTACCCCAAGGGCAATCCAACGGCCTGCCTAGATCTTTGGTCGAACAACAGAGCCTTCAAGGAAATCTCCAGCACGTGCGGGAAGGACACATGGCGAACGCTAATTGGTTTATGCTAATAACGGTTTTAGTAATGGTTTCTTACACATTCCTGATGCGGAGATAGTGTAGACAGTGGATCGTACGATCGGGCAGTTGGGGGCAGCCAACTCAGCTGATTCGGGTAGCGCCTAGGGCAGGTAATTCACCCCTATAAATAGGGGCAAGGTCTCTCATTTTTAGCTACAATCTCTGATATACTATACACATTATCACACATATTTTTCATCTTCTCAAGACTGACTTGAGCATTGGAAGCTCTTCACCGGAAAATCCCTCCAGTGTCAGAGTTTCTTGTAGGTCTCAGCATTCTACTGGCGAGGAGAGCGAGCTCAAGGTGGTCCTTAGTCGGTCTAGGCGTCACACTTGTATTATTGGTGCATTTGTGGGACCTCTGTTCGAAAAGTCGTGTTGAAGGTGTAGCCATAGAGGACGGAGTTCCTCGTGTGAATCTAAAGTCGTCGTTTGATGAGGCGTGGATAACGGCTAGACTGTTCGGGGCTGGTCCTCCTCCAGGCTTCTACGGACCTTTTCAAACGCCGGTAACCCCAACACCTTTCCACAAGATTTACGGGTATCACGGCGGCTACGGTGGCGAGGGAAGTTACGAGCAGAGAGCAGGAGGCTCGCGCAGCAGTACCAAAGGCGGTTCTTGCACTGTTCTAGGTAGATCTGATCAGATCGCAACAAGAAGGACCAGCGATGCAAGTAGTGGCGTCGCCCTTAGAGGGGAACCAACGCGGTGGCCAGCCGATGGTGAACATGACCTGGGAGGAGTTGCAGAGGATGATGGCCAATGTTTGTAGTATTTTGGGTAGTTGGTAACTGAGCTACCCGGACTCGGGTCGTTCTCAAAGGGAGGCTATTCGGACACGGATTCAAGCAATGATTGACTCACATAAGAAAAGAAAATAAAAATCCTAAACACTCTACTCGCAATTTGGGGTTTGGATTAAGCTAAAGAATGCAACTTTAAACTAAACGAGAGCAAGACTCGTACTTTATCGCAAGCAAGACCTCAAATGAAAGGAAAAAGTTAAATATAGTGCAAAATAACAAGGTACCCCTAGACCCGAGATGGAAGGAAGGTACTCATAGATTCGGGAACATGTGCTCAAGCAATCGTCACTCGTGATCAATAAATCGATCTCTCAATAAATTCTCACTCACGCAATTAACCTTACACAATCAATGACAATATCATATAATCTCTAGCCTACGAGGATAATAGCATAATTGACTCATGGACGCTCTTATATGAACCCTAGAATAAATCCAATAAGTAAAGACAAGCAAGACTCACGAGATCATGGACCTTAAACGAAGTCTCCAAGTCTCTAGTGCATCCACGAGAAGAAATTAGCCAGAAAGTTGTAATCTTGATGGAGAAATATTACAATAAAAATAGGGTCTTGGAGCCCTTAGAGAGAGAAAGAAAAACTAGAGAGAGAAGAGAGGAAAAAAAAAACAAAAAAGAAAATTTTTGCAAATGAGAAATTGTTCGAAAAATACAAAGCATAATGTCTACTTATAGCTACACCACAAACACACACTAAAATACACACATTTAATGAGGAAAAATCGCAAGTTAGGTCGAACTCGCGAGCAAAAGCCAGATTTTCGCGAGCAAGGAAGGAGCTCGCGAGTGTTGGGCTTGGACATTGGGGAACTCGCAGGCACATAGTTGTTCGCGCGCGCGGATGAAGAAGCTCGTCGGCTACATGCGCTATTGGGGGAACTCGCGGCGCAGCAGGGTCTCGCGGGCGCGGAATGAAGAGAGTCGCGGGCTATGGAGAGTTCACGGGCGCAAATAGTGGAACTCGCGGGCAGGAGCATGGCGCAGCAGGCGACACTCGCAGGCAATAGGGAGTTCGCGCGTGCGGAATGCTAACTCGTGGCCTGGGGTGTGTTCGCGCGCATGGCTGTGGACTCGCGGGCGCGAGTTCTCGGTGCTGAACTGTCGTGACTTGGTCCCGGTGACACCTTGAAGCTCGGTTCGCTCTGATTTCTCGCACACTTATCCGATTGACTTGAAACTTTAACCCACACTTCTCAAATCTTCTTCTTCTCGTCTTGAGATGTGTAAATAGGTGTCACCACACAATCAATAAATATTCTTGAAATGGCTCGGAAATGGTTCGCGTGGCTAGGACATGGTTCGGACGACTCGAAAATATCTCGGAAATGGCTCGTTTCCTCAAGCATAGTAATGATGGACCTATTCAACACAAAAAAGACAAGAAAAATACGCCGAACCACAAAAACACAAAACGAGAATAAAAATGCACGAAACACGATAAAATAACAAGTCGCTCGAAAAGAAAAATTGAGCGGTCCAAAATTAACGAGCATGCAAAATGAAACTCTCATTATTATCCAGTTATCCCTAAAAGCAAAATCCAATTCGAGACACGTTTCCTCACATAGCGAATCCATACAAAACAAAAACTCGTCTCGAGTTATTCTACACATGATTACTCGATTCACACTCCCTCTTCTACATACACGTGCAAAAACTATAATAGTCTACTAAACATGAAATGATGAGCACGAGACCAATAAACCAACTCCCTATTTTTTCTTATTATATTATTTCTTTTTTTT